AGATTCTAGCATGCCAACTGGCTGGAGGACAGTGAGGAAAAGAATGATGAGTGTAGCTAAAAAAGTTATTTAATGCTGTTGCCTTGCAGTTTGCCGAGCGCCGAAATATACCAGCATTAGAGGACAAGGTCAAAGGAACAGCAAAAGAGTATTTTCAGGAAGCTATTTGTTTTGAGTTCTCCTGCTTTCAAGACTGTAATAATAAGATGGACCAACCTATTTGGAAATGAAAGGACAAAAAACCTGGAGAATCAATTAACACTGCTGAGAATTTAAAGATCCATCAAAGTGGGAGAGAGAGAAGCAAGTGAGAAACTGATGGGATCCAAACACACCGACTGGGACATTTCCAAAATAGAACTCTTTGAAGGTTAGGGAACCTTCCCAAGAACCCCCTATACAGGATGATACACTGCAGCCAGAAGGAAAGATCAGCAGAGCCTATCAATGGACAAAAGAACGTTAGTCCTATGCAAGGAGTGCTTTGGATCACAGCCATATGTAGCAGTTGATGAAACACAAAAACATCACCTGTGGTCTTTAGTTATTTTTCTTTTCTTTTTAATAGCTACTTGCAAAAATAGAGTGATGTCACAATAGCAATAGACAATGCTACTGTATGGAAATGTTTAGGGAAATATTGCATAGAAGTGGCATTCTATGCAAGTGGCAGGTGCACAGGTCAGTTGCTTTCAAAATGCAAAACTGCATCCAAATATTATGAGAAATGTGTACAAAAAGAATTTTCAAGAGGATGTGGCAAATGTGGAAAGTGCATGGGAAATTGAGAAACTGGAACGGACAGATTTGTCCTTCTCTATAAATCAAAATTGTATTGTTTTTGCACACAGAGCGGCTTTGGATGTAATTGTTCGCCTGGTACCCATAGGCAAAAAGGGACTGCATGCAGGTGAGTGCATGGAATTCCATATGAGTGAATGAGTGGGATTGCAGAAGACAGATGGATATACCTGACCAGAAAACAAGCTGGTTTCCAGGGGGAGATAAGCACCTTCCTCCACATCCAGAAAAGAAATGCAGCAGGGTGCTGCAGCAGGGAGGGAAGAGCTCTTTGTCTTTCTACCTCATGGTTGGCCCAAGACATTTTGCTGTCTGAGGTGAAGTACAAGATAGCTCCATGAACAAAAGTGTCCAGACCGCCATCTGAATCTTACCTCAACACAGGTAATAGAAGAGAGATTTCCATTGCACTCGAGGGTTAGCTTAGAGCAGCCTTTCTCAACCTGTGGGTCCCCAGATGTTGTTGAACTACAACTCCCATCACCCCTAGCTAGCAAGGTCAGAGCTCAGGGATGATGGGAGTTGTAGTCCAACAACATCTGGGGACCCACAGGTTGAGAACCGCTGGCTTAGAGGGAACAGGACCTGTTGCATTATAGCTCCCCTCACTCTACTTCATTGTATGGCCAGCTGTGCTCCACTGCCAGCCCTCAGGAGGCTAAGAAACACCTTTGCAGGTAATAATGTTCACAGACTTTTTACAAAGCTGACCCAGTGATCCCACTCCGTTTTTTAGCTGAGTCTTTATCTACTCTTTTGTAAGGCTAAAGGAGTGGTCATCAGCGCATCTTGAGTTTGCATTAGTTAATTACTCATTAGGAAATATTTAATGGGCAATACTAGTTGTAGTACAACATCATTTCATGTGAGCATTTGAGAAAAGTAACAGAACAGATATTATATACCTGTGCTGGGTGTTAACCAGAAAGTTGGTGGTTGGAGCAGGATTCCTGCATTGCAGAGGGTTGTACTAGATGACCCTCAGGGTCCCTTCCAATTCTATGATTCTATGATGTGGAATTAGGAGCTACTGTTTTGCACACCATAAATGAACTGCAAACTTAAATAGTGAAAGAGGCTTCCTTCTTTACCCATTAGCTGATGCCATGCAGTTTCAGTGAGGAAGCAGCAAGATGCATGCATTTTTAAAAAGGGAACATGGATGATGGGCAAATAACATGTGCTTCCTAGCCTAAAGAATGCCAGAGACACGCATTTTGCACCTGATATATCAGCATAAACCACTAATTTTACAAGGAAATGCCCTCTATTTTTTAACCTCAGAAAGCACCATTCATCAAACTCTGTATTTAATGTAACATATATGAATGTGGCAGATCCAGCATCTAGCAATTAGATTTAACATAACACATTTTGAAACTGAACTATGCTGTTTACCAAAAAGTAGTAAAGAAAAGTATATATGCCTTTGATTGACCAAATTGAAACAATGTATTGGAACAATTTTATGAATGAAATAGGATCAAGAGGGTTTCACGCTTTCCACCTCAGTTGTACCTTAAATACAAAGAAGATGTGAAAGCAGGGTAAAATTAAGCAGACCTTGTTTGAAAGGCAGCCTGGTAAATTCAAAGCAGAAGATTAAGGTGTAGCTACATGCTACTTTGCAAATAGTAGTGTGGTATTTGGAAGTCACGAGACACAGGTTGTGCTGTGGTGTAAACCACTGAGCCTTGGGCTTGCCGATCGGAAGGTCGGCAGTTCGAATCCCCGCGACGGGGTGAGCTCCCATTCTTCAGTCCCAGCTCTTGCCAACCTAGCAGGTCAAAAGCATGTCAAAAGTCCGGCGGGAAGGTAAACGGCATTTCTGTGCGCTGCTCTGGTTTTGCTAGAAGCGGCTTAGTCATGCTGGCCAAATGACCCGGAAAAACTGTGTGCGGACAAACGCCAGCTCCCTCGGCCACTAAAGTGAGATGAGCGCCACAACCCCAGAGTCGTTCGCGACTGGACTTAACTGTCAGGGGTCCTTTACCTTTACCTATTTGGAAGTCATTTGCAGAGCTGAACAATAGCTGGGAGGCAGCAAGCTTAACCTTGACCCAGGTTTCTGATAGCCTTTTTATGATATGTATTTTATTGATATTTATATGTAACAAAACAAATACAACAAGGGAAATATGCAACCGAAGAAAGGTCTGTTTTTCAAGACTCTGTATTTGACATGAGGATACCAGTTCTGAAGAATATCTTATCTCAGTGCCCTGCCATAAAAATCCATGTGTGGAGGGAGATTGGTAATTGCGTTCCTTTGTAGCTCTCTATATAATAAAACTATACCAAACCTCATTAACATTGTCTGTTTGAGCATTATATATTTGTACGGTTCTTTGTGCAATCAACTCTCCTATTAGGGCCAAGAACCAATTTTTTGGTACCAGTTTTCAAACATACAGTGGTGCCCCGCAAGACGAATGCCTCGCAAGACGAAAAACTCGCTAGACGAAAGGGTTTTCGTTTTTTGAGTCGTTCCACAAGACGAATTTCCCTATGGGCTTGCTTCGCAAGACAAAACGTCTTGCGAGTTCTTGCGAGTTTGTTTCCTTTTTCTTAAAGCCGCTAAGCAGTTAATAGCCGCTAAGCCGCTAAGCCGTTAATAGCCGCTAAGCCGCTAATAGCCGCTAAGCCGCTAATAGCCGTGCTTCGCAAGACGAAAAAACCGCAAGATGAAGAGACTCATGGAACAGATTAATTTCGTCTTGCGAGGCACCACTGTATTGGAAGTTGGGGCTTTCCAGAACTAGTCAATCTTACAGCTGTAAGTAGAAACAGAAGCAAATCCCTATGAGTTAATTCAAGTCCTTCTCCACTAAAAATGGAAAGTAATGCCATTTGAGAGTTCATAGGAATTTGTTGGGCTGTTGCTGCACTAGCTTCTTCAAACATATTTTTTGCCCAAATGGTTTAAGAACTAAATTGTGGGCCCTTCATTGCTGTCACCAGTGTTAGAAGTTAGTGTCTGGTGTCAAAATATTTATTAAATGATAGCTTTTCTTAATCCACGAGGGCTCTGGGTCATATCCCACTCATTGTTGGGGGGGGGGAGTTCAAATGTAGACATAAAAATGAGTGGTTGTGTGTGGGAGAATTATCTAGGTTAAGGGGCAAGATCAAATTAGGCATCCATCTTGGGTGATAACATCACTGCCCCCAATGGTCTTTTATCCCCTAAATGTCCTGCTGACACCCCCCCCCCGCAGTTGATTGCTCCCCCCACTTTAGTATTGAGTAGCAAAGAAGGGTTTTAGAATTCCACCTCTGCTGCATATAATATATTTCTGCTTTTACATCACAACCTGCACGCCCAATTCTTCCAATTATTTTGGATATCGGAACATGCTTAGTTCAACTGTTAACAGCTAAAATACATATTGTAGGTCATATGGCTTGCAATCCCTGCTACAGTTGCCCTTGTAGAAGTTACATTAATTTCAGTGGAGCTTCTGCGGAAACAGCTGTATGCCGAATTGCAGCCCATGTGTTTTAATAAATAAAGCAGCATATCTATGGGAATGTTTAATCAGGCATTCGGGGTATTTCCAGGACACCTCACCCTTAGGGTACAAGAGCTTACATGAAACACATGTAGCATCTTAACAACTCACATTTTTAAATCTTCTTAAGCACAGGGAAGTTGACTGAGTCAGTGAGACTCTTATTACATTTCAAGTAAACATAGAGAGAAAGATACAAGAAGGAAGTGGTTTTGTAATCTCAGATAATCAGATGTGCGCTTAGTGAGTTTAGTAGAAACTGACTGGCTGAACTAGGGTATGTGCACAGCTACTCTCAACTTACATTAGTATATTTTGATCACTTCTCCCCATATGAATACAAAGGCAATTAATTCTTGGTGAGGTTCCTATTTCACCTTCACCAGCTCTCAAAAGGCAACAAGCTCTTGCTTTCATTCAAAATGCAGGTGCTGTATTAGACACAATTCAGATAGCTTAGAAGCCATATGTGTCCCACTGTGTATATGCCCCATAATACCCCTCCCCAGTTTTGAGAGCTAACAGGGGACTGAAATTAATACAATTTAGAATTTGCTGCTCTGAAATTCACAGGTGGGAATGGGATAAAGCCTCTAACTCAGCCTTCTAAAAAAGTGATGCATGCTGAAACAAAAACATCTTACTTTCACATATATACCCATGGGGTATGAATTGTTGGTGACTGACCTGGAAAAAGACCTTGGGGTTGTACTGGATAGCTCGATGAAGATGTAGACCCAGCTGTGAAAAAGGCATGTTCCTAGAGATCAGTAGGAAAGGAATTGAAAATAAAACTGCTGGTATCAGAAAGCCATTGTATACAAATATATGGTGCAACCACATTTGGAATATTGTGTATAGTTCTGGTCACCTCAAACAAGTTGGAAAACGCTCAGAAAAGGGCAATGAAAATAATCAAGGGAACGAATCAACTGTCCTATGAGGAAACATCACAGAATTCAGGACTTCTTAGTTTAGAGAAAAGGCAAGTTAGGAAGTGACACAATAAAATGGTGCAAACATTTTCTTCCCTCTTTTGTAACACTAGAACTAGTGTACAGTGGTACATCGGGTTAAGTACTTAATTCGTTCTGGAGGTCCGTCCTTAACCTGAAACTGTTCTTAACCTGAAGCACCACTTTAGCTAATGGGGCCTCCTGCTGCTGCACGATTTCTGTTCTCACCCTGAAGCAAAGTTATTAACCTGAGGTAATATTTCTGGGTTAGTGGAGTCTGTAACCTGAAGCGTATGTAACCTGAAGCGTATGTAAACCGAGGTACCACTGTACATCCAATTGAAGCTGAATGTTGGCAGATTCGGGACAGATAAAAGGAGCTTGCTCCCACAGAAGGCAGTGATGGCTGCTAACTTGGTTGGCTTTTTAAGAGGATCGGACAAATTCATGGAGGGCAAGCCTATCAATTTAGCCATGATGGCTATGTTCTGCCTCCTCTGTTCTGCCTCTGAACACCAGTTGCTGGGGAAATACTGCTGCAACTCATCTCCAGCTCGCAGGCTTCCCCATGGCATCTGGTCGGCCGCTGTGAGAATAGGAGGCTTTTGCATTTAGCTGAATTTAAAAGACAACAACGCACATCTCATGTAATACTGTACTACAAAGGTAACATGTAAATAGGCTTTAAATGTCTTCTGGCACAAAGTAATCTCTAAGCAGCCCATAACACAGATTTGAACCGATTGATTTAGGCCAGGAAACATATTTTACTTGTTCACCAACAATGACAGTTGAAATGCAGCTGGACAGCTTGCTGCTGCTCTTAATCAGATAGCAGTTTCCAAATGAGATAGGCAAGAGCTGCTGTTGTCATGCAGCATGTTTCCAGAGTCACATACACAACACACAGTGTGTTTTGCTTCTTGGAGCAGTTGCTCCCTGGGGATTAAGACACCTCAGGAGTACAAAGTAGCAAAAGCCCCACAAGATCAGAACTTGTGAGCAGATCCACAGAAAGCATGAGCAGGATTCTCTGAAATAAAAGCCTCAGTGCTCAACTGGATGTTACTTTGATGCCATGGATCGCTCCAATTTCTGCTTCCCTTTAGGTAAATTGTGAGCATAGTTTCTAAAATGTTCCATTTTCAGCCCCCCCCCCAAAAAACAACAACTTGGGAGAAGTTAAACAAGCAAAGCCACCCAGCTCCCTCCTCAAAAGATTAGATATTTTTAGACTACTTCTCAGAAAAAAAACAAAACCTCTTGTTTATAGTTCACTAATAATGGCTGTTGAACCCTGAATATTTTTCAGACCACAGCAGCAATTAAAACAGCCAGAAGACTGATAAGCACTCAAATGTGTGCCTGTTTGTGCATGTGTGAAACATTCATGATTTTCCTTTTTTAAAAGAAAAAAGAAATGAGACAAAATAGAGGAGATAGATGTTATGAAGGAAAAATCGCTGAGGTGACCAGGGCAAACACATGAATTACTACTTAAATGTCAGCTTTGACACAGTTTGCAATCCATTACTCATAATGCTTTAATAAATATTGCTTAATAATATTTAATAATGCATGCTTGTTTCCATTTTGTTGTATGATGTGGAAATAATATTAGCTTCACAATATTGTTCACAGCAGCTTCTGCTACAGGAAGTGACCAAGAGGCAAGGAACTATATAAGTGTGCAAAGCTATTTAACCTCATCTAGTGGCTTTGCAGAAATACATTCCTATTAGCAAGATCCCCAAACCACACTGCATATAAACATTAGCTGCTGGCTAGAATGCAACAGCTAAAGCAGCCTAAATGGCCTTTTCTTCTTCACACAAGTTCTCTCATTAAATGTTAATCCAGTCGACATAAGCACAGTGGGGAGGCACCAGCGCTGAACTTAAATGATCCTCAGAGTCAAAATAAGGCTGCAGATGTTCACTGTTTAAATTTCTGTGCTAAGGTGATGGCTTGTTAGCAGTTTTAATTAATCACTATAAAAGCAAAACAATTTTTAAAAAATTACCTTTATTCTTACATGCTTCTTCATTCAGAACTGTACAGATTGTCATGTAAAGGCAATACCAAACACGCTATATGCACAGCATGCTATGAAGTCCTTCCCAGTGATCTGGTTCTTGGAATTTTCAGATTCTTGCCCGCTCTGCTACTTTCTGAATCTGTATGCGCAGCACAGATCCCTACCTTATTTGGCTGCCAAGCCTATTACAGTGAGCAAACAATGCCTTCTCTGTCAGAACAGAGAATGAATAGTATCACAAAGACACTCCTCTCATGTACAGCTCTGGACTTTTCCCTCCTCCTCCTTTCAAAGCAATCTAACTAGGGTGAGAACGGATGACAGGAAATCGCTGGTATATTTTAGTGTGTCCCCTTCCTCAGTGCCAGTCATCATTATTAAAATGGCAGCAAAAGAATATGATTTTTTAATTATTATTCAATAGCATAGATTTAACAATGGAATGCATCAACTGGCTTTATACTTTTCTAAGTGACTGGATGTGAAAGCAAACATCTGGAACATCCATTTTCTGGGTATGGAAAGTCTGCTTCAAGCCATCAGGAGCAAAACAAAAGAGCAAGAAGAAAATCTCACAGATTTGTCAGTTGAGTGTGGATAAATCTTCCGGCTACTCTCTGTTTTGAAACAGATTTGGTCTTTGAACAGAGACCGGGCTTCGGGAATTGAGAACTTGTATTATGAATGATAGAGCAAGAGTTTGAAGTGGGATTTGTGTGATGATAGCGGATGAATAAATCTTTGGGTGACTGGGGGCTCACTTTGCTCCTTCAAAGCAAGGAGACTAATTTCAAGAAAATGCAAAATGATTCTGCGGATACCGAATGCCTGCTGTGCAGTGATCATATTGGTGCAATGATCTTTCGTGCATTAGAGCACCTAAATGATAAAAATATTAAAATGATGTAAACTTGTGGTTTAAAGGCTAAGCAGTTCCTCTGCTATCAATAACATTTCACCATATAGTACACTATTAAATTAAATATCCTTCCAGACAGTGCTGGAAAGATACCAGTGTGTCTTCCAGTGAAAGGAATGTTTTTAAAAAACCAAACCTTTCTATACATAGCCCATTCTGATTTTATGCTGTCTGGTAGCACATGTATTTGATTAAACCCATGCAGTGGCGGCTACTTGACCATATCTGGACATCCTCCTACATTTTCCTTCAAAGACTGCCAGAGGCTGATTGAGAGTCACCAGATGCTACAGATAAATAGACGATGGCTATTCACCATCATGCCCTACTTGAGTGTTTCCCAGGGGCATTTGGCTAGCCACTTGTATAGACAGAATGTTGTATCAGGTGGACCTTTGGCTGTATCCAGCAAGGGTCACAGGAAATCAGCCAAAGTTCTTCCAAGTGTGACTTCAGACAACTGAATGCACCCTTAATATGAAACAGATGAGTTGAGTGCCATATACATTAATTTTGCAGGATCCCCACAACTGCCCAAGTCTGACACAACAACACAGTCAATACAATTCCCAGATGACGCGTCCCAATGCAGTAATTATGTTTGGCACACTTATTAAATGGCAACTCACTCACAAGCTAAATGGAGGCCCTTTTATTTTCCCCAAATGAGTTTTGAACAGATTGAGGCTGACAATGTCCATGATGAAATTTTGTCATGTTCCTACTCATTATAACAACGTATTAACTATATAAAAATGAAGAGCTGTGGCCTAGAGGAAATGGCCTGTGCTGCCTGACTGATGGAAGATTGTGGGTCTTTTTACTCTTTTAAAAGCCTGCTTCAATATTTATTTTAAAAATGAATAAAGCCAAGTAATGCTACAAGGCCAGCACTGTATGTACATTCAGTACATGTAATGCTACTTGTACGATCCAATAAATGGCAAAAGGGAAATAACACATAAATCTTATGGAGGTTTTTAAAGACATTTATTGCTTGAGGCAAAGCAGAGCTAGTTTTTCTTTTTTTAAGGTCAAACTGCATCAAGGTAGTGCAGCACTTTATTCTCAAATGTAGCTCAAGGTTTAATATGCCAGAGCAGCTGACGTGGTCTTGGAGACTGCAGAACACCAGCTGTTTTGGATCCATCTTATTGCAGTTAATAACATAAAAATGAAAGATTACCTATCAAAATGAAATCTTACTTCACGTAGGTACAGTGAACTACCATGAGTCCAGACCCAGAATAACCTTTAATTCAACTAAGCATTATTGAATATGGACATAGAAGTGGCCCAGATGAGGAACAATAAAGTGGAGCTGAATTCTCCTAAGACAGACACACTGCTGACGAGTAGCTCCCAGTTCTGAGAACTGGAGATTTTGCCTGTATCTAGCAGGGGGCTACCCTGCCTCTCAAAGAAGTATGCTGTTTAGGAACAATTACGGTCGTACCTCGGAAATAGAACGGAATGCGTTCCAGAAGTTTGTTCGACTTCCCAAAAATTCGGAAACCAAGTCGTGGCTTCCGATTGACTGCAGGAAGCTCCTGTAGCCAAGTAGAACCTTCATCGGACGTTCGGGTTCCAAATAACATTCGCAAACCGGAACACTCACTTCTGGGTTTGCGGCATTCAGGAGCCAAAGCGTTCAACTCGCAAGGCATTTGATTTCTGAGGTATGACTGTACTGGAATGTTCATGGAGGCCCAGGTGGCAATAAAAGGCTTGCCCAAGGTGCCTCTCAGCCTTTTCAACCCAAATATTTTTTTTCAGATATTGATAGTAACAGGCCAAGAGCAAACTCAGTGGATGGAGCAGATTCATACAACCACCCTGCTGTAGCT